AGAAAGACCAGTTGCTATAAAAGGACTTCATATTTGGTATAGTAGAGGGTCATTGAAAATGTGGATGGTGAATATGGCACAGGACTGGGTAAAGTTTCATTTTGTTATACATTAGGTTGTCATGAGTTAGAGCTGACTCATTAATAACTAAAAATAATAACATTTGCCAGGCACTGTGCTGTCCTTGGGGATACAAAGATTTAAAAAGGCATAGTTGTTCCTTATTGGAGCTTATATGGCATTATGGGATAAACACCAAAAGTTTATGTAAAATCATTACAGTAAGGGCTAGTAGAAGACTAAGCGCTCTGGTGGTACAATGGTTAACCATTCAGCTGTTCAAACTCACTAGGACTTCCATATGAGAAAAAGCCTTGTGTGGTAAAAATTACAGCCTAGGAAACCCTGTGGGGCAGTTCTCCTTTGTCACATGGGGCTTGAATGAGTTGGGATTGACTTGATGTCACACAAAAGCACCAGCAGATGTCTAATGGACAACAGAGGATGGATTCCATATAGCTAGGGTGAGGGTATTGATTAGCGGTCCTAAATCTGTGGACCAACTTGGGATGAATTGTAAAGAGAAGTGGAAAACTGCCAGAGAAAGAAGCTGTAACAAGAGGGAAGTCCTTTTGATAAAATAATCTTATAAGAAAATGCACACAATGAGTAATAACTTGGAATTTACTTACACATACAAGTACATCCTGATATGCCTTTTTGAATAGTAAATGATTTATAATCCAAAAAAAATAACTAACCCTGTTGTAATTGAGTGAATTCTGACTCATAAAAACCTCATGTGTTACATAGTAGAATTGTGCCGGAGTTTTCATGACCTCAATCTTGATGAATACCATTCATCTCTGAGTTTGTCTTTCTGTGGTATGTTGTATGTTGCTATGATAATGGGAGCTATGCCTTCAGTATTTGAAATACCATCAGGGTTACCCATGATTGACAGGGTTCATTGGAGTTTGAGACCAAGATTAAGAAGAATAACTTGGAGGTCACTTCTAAAAAATGTTGACCAGTAAAAATGTTATGAATAGTAGTGGAACATTCTATGATATAGTATCAAAAGATGAGCTCCTCAGGCTGGAAAATACTCACAATACAACTGGGGAAGAGCTGCCTCCTCAAAGTAGAGTCACATTTAATAATGTGGATGGAGTAAAACTTCTGGGACCTTCATTTGCTGATGTGACATGACTCAAAAGGAAAAGAAACAGCAGCAAACATTCATTTTTAACTGAAATGTAGAATGTACAGAACACGAATATAGGAAAACTGGAAGTCCTCAAAAATGAAGTTGATCTTGACGACTCATAATCCTAGGCTTTAGGGAACTGAAATTGACTGATACTGGATATTTTAAATTGGACAATAATATTGTCTATCACGTTTGAAAAAACAAATTGAAGGAGGAGTTATATCACATTCATCATAAAAAACAAAGCAAAATAAAACAAAACCACACATTACAAGATCTATCATGAAGCACAGTGAAGTCAATGGTAGGATAATATCCAGACACCTACAAGAAAGACCAATTTATATGATTATTATTCAAACTTATACAACAACCAATAATACCAAAGATGAAGCAGTTGAAGGATTTTTACTAACTTCTCCATGCTTATATTGATCAAAAATTCAATTCAAATGCATTGATAATTAATGGTGATTGGAATGTAAACACTGGAAACAAAGAAGAGGAAGATCCCCAAGGAGATGGATTGACACAATGATAGCTGCAGTGGGCTCAAGCTTTGTTCATAGGTTTGCTATGAGTCATTACCAACTCCATGGCACATAACAACAACAACAGCAGCAAATGTATGGAATGTCAGAAGCATACTCTTCTATTCTAAGAAATCTGGATGATACTTATTTGGTTAACTAACTGGAAGAAATCTGTATTTGTGCCCATTTCAAAGGAAGATAATCTAATAAAATGTGAAAATCAACAAGCAATGTCATCAATATGACATTCAAGTAAATTTTTTTTCTTGAAGATACTTTAAATAACTATTGGAGTAGTAAATCAACAGAGAACTGCCAGAAATACAAGCTAGATTCAGACAAGGACACGGAACAAGGACTGTCATTACTGATGTCGGATTAGCTCTTGACTGAAAGCATAGAATACCAGAGAGATCCTTATCTGTGTTTTATTTACTGTGCAAAATCATTTGACAGTGTGGATCATAAAAAATCATGGATAACATTGAGAAGAATGGAAATTCCAAAACACTTGATTGTATACATGAAGAACCATACATAAAACAAGAGATATTTACTTGAACAGAACATTGAGATAGTACATGGTTTAAATTTAGATAAGGTATGTGTCAGGTTTATATTCTTTCATCATACTTACTCAATATATATCCTGAGCAAATGATTTTAAAAATCTTAAGTATATGAAGAAGAACATGGGGTCA